TGGCCTCTGTGCCAGACATGTGTGGCACTGCAGCACTGCATTCTTTAACTCAGTGGAGAGCCCCGGCCACCACACAGATGAATTAGCCCTATCCCTGCACTTGGTGAGGCCTTAGTGTCCTTCATGTAGTTTGTGTAGAATGGCTGTTCTCTGTGACTTTGGAATGACAATTCTGCAGCCTCGTATAACCAGGCCGTCAGCCTCTGATAGCTCGTTTTTCACTTACATGTACGCTTTAATGTTCAATGGCACACTAGCTCCGTATGCAGGCCAACCCCTGCGAATGTACGTAATGACAGTCTGTAGTTCAACGTCCGTTGCAGTGGCTGCTTTAATGCTTTCCATTCGGCTTGGGGACACTGGAATGCCCTGTAACACGGTGGCTATGTTACAGGGCAGTCCACTTCACTGTGAGTGCTAGTGTCATCCTCAGCCCGAGTCTGTGGACTCCGTGACAACGTATGGGCGATGACAAGCGTTTTGCCAGGGACATAGACGGCCTCCGGCTTGTACCTGTCATGAGCCTCATCAGGAGGCGTTGACACCTCAATGGAACATTGTCAAGGTCCCGGCTATTGACCAGGGGCACCAAAGGTCTATGGTCGGTCTCAAGCCTGAAGCGATCTAAGCCACATAGATACTTATCAAACTTCTCACAGGCCCAAACACTTGCCAAACACTCCTTTTCGATTTGTGCGTAGCGTGTTTCAGCCTCCGTGAGGCGTCTAGAGCAGTAGGCAACAGGTTTCCACTCTGCGCCATGAAGCTGAAGCAGCACAGCCCCAAGCCCGTAGCTACTGGCGTCGGCAGATACGGCTGTGAGTCTGTTGACGTCATAGAAGGCAAGAACAGGTGCTGATGTAAGCGCTCTCTTAATGTTCTTGAAGGCTGCCTGCTGTGGGTGACCCCAGGTCCAACTGTTTTTGCTTTTAAGCAACTCGTACAGTGGCTGACATACTGTGGCAAGAGCAGGAATATATCTGCCCAGGTAATTAACCATTCCTAGGATCCGTTTAAGCTCTTGCACATTTTCTGGTGACGGCAGCTGAAGAATGGCGCTCACTTTCTCAGGGTCTGGCCTGACCCCAGAATAGTCGATCAGGTGCCCTAGGAAGCGAAGCTGGCTCTGTCTGAAGGAGCATTTCTCTCGGTTGAGCTTCAATCCGGCTAACCCAATAGGCTGCAGGACCTCCTCAAGTCAGGTGTCGTGTTGTTCCATGGTGGCCCCATAGACCAGGATGTCATCCATAAAGACCTCCACTCCTTCGAGCCCCTCTAAGGTCTCCAACATCTTTCGCTGAAAGATCTCTGGTGCACTTGTTATCCCAAAGGGCAGCCTCTTAACCCTTTAGAGCCGATCGGAGCGGGAACGCTCTGTTATGCGTAACTATTTTTAAATCCCGGTAGCACTGCAACCACGTAAGCTAGCGCAAAAATTTTTTTTGCATATGAAACCGGAGGAGTTGTACTTACATATTGTGCCATCAGCTTGTCCTAGGTCACGGTTTCCTTCCACATAAAGCTTTGCAAAAACTGCATAAAAAGCGCTTGCAGGAACAAAAACATAATATTCCAGAAACACGCTTTGCCGGTCCGATCAGCTGTTCAAAACACTTCCTACGTTGGAATAGACGTCAGCGCGAACTTTTGCATTTCCGCCATTACCTGGCCGAAACCGGAAGTGACGTCATTTTCGCGGAAATGTAGTCTTTTTTGCGATCAGGGCCTCAGGGCCTATACTGCTCTTTTTAAAAGTTATCTTTGACTTTATGACTTTCTGTGTCGTTTCTGGGATGCTTAGGACTCATATTGCACTGCTGGAAATAGTTTATTTTGATGCATATGCTGCTTTTTTGCAAATTTGCAGTATAATATTTATTTTCGTTTTTCCTGCAGTGTATAAAAATTGGTGTATTTCAAAAATAAAACTATGAAGACACTCAAAATAAATTTCCTGTGGTGGGAAACTATTTTGTGCAACTTTTTTGTATTTACAGTTTTGAGGGATAAGCCTCTTAAATTTCTCTAACTACAAATATATGTTAAAAAATCAAAAACGATTTTCAATTTTTTTGTAGTTTATTGCACTTTTTTGCAATTTATGTAATTACTATGCACTTAATGAATACATATTTTTAAAATCTGGGCTATAATGGTTGTATTGATGTATAGCAACTTGAAATGCTCCCAAAAATGGCTCCACAGCATGTAAAAATATAATATAAGCTCTGGCGGACTTGGTTCTATGGTAGGTCTTAAAGGGTTAAAGCAATACCTGCCAAATGGCCTGATGAATGTTTGCAACTCTCGTGATGCAAAGGGATCTGCCAAAATCCACTGGCTGCATCCAGCGAGGAGAAGACCGTTGCCCCACTCAACCTGGACATGGTTTCCTCAGGGGTAGGCAAGATATAGCGCTCTCTTTTGACAGACTTATTCAGTTTTGTCAGATCGACGCAGATCCTGGCCTTTGCTGTGTTCTTCTTCAAGACAGGCACCATTGGGGCACACCATTCGGTAGGTTGGGTCACCCTCTCAATGACACCATGGTTCTCCATTCTTTGTAGTTCCTCCTTCACTTTCTGCAGCATGGGGAAAGGCACACGGCGTGCCGTATGCACTGCGTATGGCACAGCATCGTCCCTTAACTGAATTTTGACTGGTTCAGTTTTTGGTGTTCCGTGTTCACCGTAAAGTGGTTGGTTCCTGGTGAGTGTGATCGTTGCTTCATCAATTCTTCTCACCAGGTTCATCTGCACTGACAAGGAGTGGCTGAGAAGGTTGTTAACTCTGCGTCCACGAACCACATACACCTTGGACAGGTAGTCTTTGCCTTTATAACGTATTGTGGCCTTTAAGTAGCCGAGACATAACAGCTCTCCTCCGGGGCTATCTAGAGGGAGATTAGAAGGCTCTAGTGTTCTCTTATGAGCAAGTGTGTGGAACGTATCTTCATTTATGATAGTGACATCTGCTCCTGTGTCAATCTTAAATTCTATTGGGGCAGAGTCTAGCAGTAACTGCACAGTCCATGCTTCACTATTTCCTTTTGCATTACACACTGAGCCTAGAAAATATGAGGCCTGCTTGCTTTTCTCTGTCTCTGTAACCTCATTAACTGATCTGCTGTTACGACACACCCTGGCCCAGTGTCCAATTTTTCAGGAGCCATGGCAAACAGATTTTGCTGCCGGGCACCTTTCATCCCTGGCATGCTGTGTCTTCCCACATTTCTTGTCCCGCCCCGCCCATTTTTTTTCCTCGGGTAGCCTGCCTCGCTGTTGTTGTGATTTCCAGTCCATGCTTTTCCGTTTATCCCGTACATCCTGCCTCCAGCATCTCCCTGCAAGCTGACCTGCGCTGCGACCTCCTCTGACTGTCTGACGATCTGGGTCGTTTGTGCCAACATGAGGTCCTTCATCAGTTGTAGCCTGCGGGAGAGGTCCTTGTCTCGTATCCCGACCACAATACGATCATGAATATTTTCCTCTTTACATGCACCAAACTCACAGTGCTCTGAGAGGTCATACAGGGCTCGGATAAAACTCTCCACCGTTTCGCCTGGCCGCTGGACACGCTGGTGAAAACATGCTCTCTCATGTATAATGTTCCTCTGCGGGAAAAAATACTCGTCGAACTTCCTCATTACGACGGCGAAGTTGTCACGACTTTCATCGGCGGCGAAGGTGAGTGACTTGTAAATGTTCTCTGCTTCATTTCCCAATTGCATAGATTAGGTAGCTCACCTGTACTTGTCCTTCGTCTTTGTGGAGTTTCGTTGCGATCCTGTAGCGCTCGAAACGCTGTTTCCAGTCGAGCCATTCCGTCGGCTTATCGAAGGGGAAGCTTGTCGGGGGATTAAACTTCTGTTTTCTCCCTTATGGCGTTATTCCGGCGATGGTCCGGGCCACTTCTGACACCATGTAGAATGACCACTCGGTAGCTTTCTTGTGATGCTGCTTTATTGAACGTGTATCCAGCATGGGTTATAACAGCACAACAACGGGTGTGGCAGCTAAGAGAAGATCTGGACATAGACAGCCCTGCCGCAAAGCATGTCCTAGTGGCGTAAAGCCGCAACGCCCACCCGTTCGACACAGGCAACCCAGTATATGACAGCCTGTATTTGTATAGCGCCTTTACTAGTCCCCCACTTTGCCTCCCCTAAAGCGCTTTACACACCCAGTCATCCACCCATTCACACACTGGTGGAGGCAAGCTACAGTTGTAGCCACAGCTGCCATTGGCCCTTCTGGCCAACACCAGTAGGCGGTAGGTGAAGTGTCTTGCCCAAGGACACAACGACCGAGACTGTCCCAGCCGGGGCTCGAACTGGCAACCTTCCGATTACAAGGCGAACTCCCAACTCTTGAGCCACGATCGCCCGAATCAGGTTTGTGTCTGGTGTCAGCATTGTCAGTTTTCATGTCTTTCCTGTCCTGTCACATGTAATTATCCTCAGCTGTGTTCCCCATGTGCTTCCACTTTCCTCATTACCTTCTGGGTATTTATGTCCGAGTCTCTCTCAGTTACATGTCACATTGTCCCTCGTACTGTGTGCTCCCCAGTGTCTCCTCGTGTGCATTAGTTCTATTAGTTTCCCAGTTTAGTTGGCTTTGAGTTTATTCTATGTGTCAGTGAGTTTACGTTTAGGTCCAATCCCTGCCTGCACACAGCCGTAACATGACAGCTGTTAACTATTATTAACACTGATTTAATTAAATGAAAAAAAATGCATCAAAATTTTTGGAAAAAACTAAATTAATTTGGTAATGTTGTAACTAGATCAGATAAATCATCGTCAAGGAAAGAGTAAAGTCTATAAGAACGCCAATCAGTGTATTAAAAGGGTAAAAAGAAACTAAGTTACAAAGTTAAAGTTAAAGTTTTTTTTACCTAATTACAGAAATAGCTATGTATATTTGATGTTTGGTTGCAACCTGTATCCCATAAAGCAAACAGAAGTAAATTAACCCAAACAGGGGCCATTTCATTCTCACCACGTCAAGTTCTGGCATCGCTTCCATCACCTCTACAAGGTTCTCTATCTTCGTCTTCTCTGAAAACATAAAGTCATCATCCACCCACAGGAAGTACTTGGTGGTTACCTGGGAAACAGCCAGATTTCTGCCTGCAAACCAGCCCTGAGAAAGGAAACATCTTTCACATCTTAATGCAAATGATAAGAGTTCTAATTCTGATTTCAGATTTATCCTTAAATTGTGGTGGTGACCACATGTGACTGCAGTCCATTTATTCTTTATATAGTTAGTTAGATTAGCAGCAATTTAACATGCTTGATACAACTAAGTAACAGAAGTTTAGCTAATAAAATTTTAAATGCATCTGAAATCTGAATTATTTTCCTATCAGATTTTATAGAAAATTTCAAGAATTAAAGTAAAGTGACATATGTTCTAAATTTTGTATAGTCAGTTTAGTCCATAAGAATGTAGGTATATACCTGTGCTGGAGGCATAATGTAATGTTGAATGTTTTCTCCAGTAATGAGCTCCGTTTCAAAGCTGTCATCGGCAATAATAATTTTTACGTTGCTATAAAATTGCCGGATGCTGTCAAGCAACACTCTTAAGTGTCTATAGCGCTGGAAAGTTTTTGTTGTGATGGTGACTTGAGAGCTGATATCTGAGAGACAGAAGCAAACAAAGACTTATTTCAAGAAAAAGTAGGGTGATCTGCTACAGCATAGAATGAGTTATCGTAGGACACTTTTCTCTATGTGCATCCTTCTCTCACCTATTGTGCCATGGAAAAGTATTTGTCCCCATTCACTACAATGAAATGTTTCAGATATAAAATTGAGTTTTTAAATACTGATTTCACTTCTTAAGGGGGGGTAGACCTGGGCTATGGGCTATGTCCCAATGCAGTGGCTGCATCCTTTGGAGGACCCCGCCTTTGCAGTCTATGTGGGCCAGGTCCGAGAAGGCCAGAAGTGCGATTCTGTGAAATGGGACGGTCTAGTCTTCAGATTTGTGTCACTGTGTCGGTGGAGTTTAATAAACTCAGCCATCTGCTCCTTGCTATCTAAAATATAACAGAATATTGGAGTAAATTCTCAACCATCTCACACTTCTGTTTAATCAGTTTTCTGTTTGACGTTTATTGAGCTGTGTGAAAAAACTTTAATCTCAGCTAAACTGATTTACTGAGGAACAAATAAAACACTGAAAAACACCAAACAATAACATTTTTAATCAACAAGTGACTTATATATCATGTTTAACCTGAGTAGTGAAAGACTGCGCGAGGGTCTGAAAATGATGTGTCGGGAGTTCACTGTACTCGCCGGCTCAAGTTAGCCTTGACCACCCAGTCAGCTATCGAGCTGGTCGGTAACAGACGTCTCCGAAAACATCGGAGCACTTTTTGCAAATATGCGATGTCTTGATAAATCGAGCAGATATTTGAACTTGACACAGCTACATTCTCGCCTGAAAATTTGTTAATTTTATTTTGTGACCCAAAAAGAGTAATATTTTAAACTCTTCAGCCACGCTCCTCAACTAAGTAGCACCAATAACACCAAAAGGGATTGGATCACTTTTTTCAATAATGAAAGAATTCAACATTTAAAAATTGCCTTTTGTATTTACCCAGATTATTTGTAAATAATGTTAACCTTTATCTGATGATCTGCAACATTTAAGTGTGAGAAATATGCAAAACAATATTCAATAAGAAATCAGGAAGGGTGCAACTACTTTTTGAAAGGACTGTACACCTCTAGTGAAGAACCTTGAAAACAGAATTAAGTTAGAAACATTTCATTCATTGGAGGAAGGCAGTCTAAGTTGGCCATAATTTCAGGAATCAATACATGGTACCATCACAGAGATTTTTAATTTCTAGGAAGAACAAACTACCTGTTCCCATGTCATACAGGACTGGTACACGAGGCTGTTTGATGGCAATTGGAAACACAGCTTCATGCATTTCAAACTGGAAAGTGGCTAAAATCAGAAAACAAAAAGCTCAGATTAAATACAGTGCAAAGGACACTCTTGTATAAAGAGAAAAAACAAAAACATAACAAAACATAGTCACTGATTTTCCAATAAACCTTAGAACAGCACACAAACTGCATAACTGGAAAACACTTTGTCTAATTTCACTTTTGCTTTCACTTATTTTGCTTGGACATGACATACGGAATTCAGAAACAATCAAATTTCATGCAAAACTTTATTTTCATATAGAATTTCAAATTTCTAGCTCATTTAACATTGTTTAAACACATACCAAGGTCTCCAGTGTTTATGTGGTAGTCAGTGCTGGTATAGGACACTTTGGCTAGCAAGTTGTTGAGGGTCACCAGGCTGCGAGACTCGATAATCAGTTTGTTCTTACCAGATCCTGTTAATTCAAACCACAAAATTTCACAACAGCATTAAAATGACTTGATTAATAGTTCAAGTTTTAAAGTCAATAAATATGACAAAGTGTACACCCTACAAGCTATATAGATTATATAAAAATGAATTCAAACAAGGTCTGTTTATTCTGCCTTTTTGCCTAGCTGAAATCACACTTTCTTATATTTTTTAAATAACAACTAAAGGCGGGACACATTTTCAAGAAAAAAAAAGTTGAAAAGCAGTCAGTGAGTTCACAACAACACTGAGAAAAATAAACAAATTGCTAGTGTTGTATGTTGCTTTCTCATACAACATAATTATGAAAAATAATGCTAATGTACCAGATGTAACATATCCAATCGATATATGCAAAGAAACTAGAACTGTCCATAAACCCTCCTGTTGTGTGCATCCCCACCCCCCTTACTTTAGTGTTCCCGGTAACAATTGACTGGTCTGTTTTAACAGCTCTTAAATTAACATAACACTGAAATGAAAGAGGTACTCATTACTTTTATATGTTCAAATGCATAGTGTGGAGGATGTCATAAGGCCTTGAGGTAATCAAATGAGTGTTTTAATTTGTAAATGGGTCAGGTTCGACCCAAATACAACAGGAAGGTAAATCAAGATGTGTAATAATGAGTTTAATACAGGGAAACAGTATTAAACACAAGAAGAAAGGGAGGTGCAAGAAGGCATGGAAAGTAATGACACCAGCTGAAATCTATCAGTAATTAGAAAGCAACCCTGCCAATCCTCAGTACCAAGTGATGGCCTATAAAAAGGTGTCGCATTACCAAGGTTATTGCTTGTTTCATAACACAAGAAACATCTGATGATTGTTAAAATCATTAAGTTCTCAAGTCACGGTCAGTGGGAGCTGACTGTCAGGGGCAGATCTAGAAGGTTGGCATGTGCCACCCTAATATGATCTCTTGCCACCCCAAGTACCACCCTACTTTTGCATACGACAGTGTTGTGCTTTAAAATAAGATAGCATTAACACTTTGAGCACAGTTACAGTTAGCAGTGAATATAAATTCTACAAATGAATATACTGCATAGTGTTACCCCCCTCCACCATTAACAAGAGGTTCAGCCCATAGCACATTTCGAAGAACACCATGGGAATTTCAGATTTCACACAGGTGGTTGGTTGTTACACAATGAAGGTGAGTGTTATTAACCCTCTGTGGTCCACAGGCACGCTGCACCTCCAAATCACATGTCTGATTTAAGCTGACATAGCAACAAGCTGCAGCCACGCTGAGTCTTTCAGCCCGTGTTGAAAGTTCGGACTTCAAAGTATACACCGTTTTTTAAATTTTAATTACAGGCCAGTAAATTCAGAGTTATGATAGAAAAAATATAATATAAGCCATGCTTTTTTCTAAATACTATTGTCATGTTTTGTTTTGTATTTTTGTTTTGTTTTCTTTTAAAGCATTTTCTAAGGACAGATAGGAAGAAGGGAAAGTTTTGGAAATGACAGCAGCGAGACAGAGCGAGTGACAGAGAGAGAGAGATATTGATATCGAGTTTTTAGATGTGGGAGATTTGTGACGTTTAGCTTTGAGTGTGTAGTTAGTGTGTTGTGTAGTCGTTGTTTTAATTTGTGTGTCAGTGAGGGTACTAATGACTGTCATAAAGGCAGATTGCAATGTAAGCACTGTGACCAGGTAGAAAACCAGAGGAGTGACACAACTCCTGTTGTCAGGCCTGCAGGGTTTATCCCTGTGGGGTTCTCCTCTGTCTTGTGTCCGACAAACACATAATAATTTGTGGGGCATCTTATTTTGACACTCGATTGTTCTCTCTTTTTAGTTAGAGTAATATTTTTAAATGGTTGTTCAAAATTGTAAAAAATTCCAGGTGTATTTTTAGATAAATAGTTGAAAATGTTTACAAAATGTGTGAAAAGGATTTTGTGTTTTTTGTGTGATTTCAGATCAGTTGTGATAATACAGTATGTCAATGAAAAAAACAACAAAATTAATACATGTGAGGTTGAGCTGTAAAGAATGATACCAAGCAAGACAGGGAAAAAAATGTAACAATTTAAAGGTGAAATACAAATGTAAAATCAAAAGGAGTCAAAAATAAACAGTCATATTTTGGACCTCAGAGGGTTAAATCATTTAAATTTTTGTTCATGACGGTGCAGATTTCTGACATTTTGTGTAAATTAAGCATGCAAAAATTAGATTTTTTTCTAACAAAAAACCAGTGAAACTTAAGATAGACATGTGTTTGTAAATGAACCGCCCCATGTTGTGCAGCTTTCTGGATTTTATACGTATTGGGCTACATATTTATTATATATATATACATATATATATTAGGGGTGCAACGATATTCGTATCGATATTGAACCGTTCGATACAGTGCTTTCGGTTCGGTACGTATATGTATCGAACGATACAACATTTGTAAATTATTTTATCAACTTTCCTTCTGACGATGCTGTCTGGGTGGAGCGCTCAGTGAATCTGCGTTCGACTACTCCACCTAGGCTGCACTGTCGAGTGCAGATCCACTGAGCGCTCCACACAGACAGCATTGTCAGAAGGAAGAGCGCAGGGCAAGCTAGCGAGACAGAAGTTAAGCTCTCCTTGCAACATGGCAAATTGAACTTCCCCCACTCTCATTCAGATCTGGCGTTTGGAATTATTTTGGTTTTCATGTGATGTATGACCCTGAAGGTAAGCGCGTCATGGACTAAAGTAAAACAGTATGTTGGATGTGCCATGCAATGCTCAATTACATGGGTGGGAGCTAGTGTGTTAGCGCACTTAGCTCGTTAACGTGTTGGCCGTCTAGCCCCATGCACGGGGCGATCGGCGGTAGCTCGTTAACGGAGATTTGCCGTGTTGTGGCGTTAACGTCATTTTAACGAGGTTAACCTGAAAGCACTAGTGGGAACACAACGAATATGACTGCACATTTACGCCAACATCATCCTAGTGCAAAGACAAAAACAACAAGCACGCATGCTACAAACTTTACCTGAGTCATTTAGACAGATGTTAGCACATGATTCTCCTTATGGGGACCTGATATGTTTAATATGCTGCTGAGAATATAGCCCAGAAGAAGCGGATAGTATAGCTTTTATTTTGGAAAGAGCCATTTCTCTGTAATAAACTCTCTTTTCCAAAGATGAGTGATTCCTCAATCAGATACAGGGCTCGCAAAATCGCTAGCCCGACGTCCCGGGGCTAGCGATTTTTCCAGTTGGGCTACCAAAATCTATCTCTGCCCTGCCCGTCGGGCTATTGTAGGAAGGAAAAATATATGTCAATGCTTTTGCATTCTTTCGGAAATGTAGCTGGGTAATTATGTCATTGGCATCGGTGAGCCACTGTCAATATGTGACATATTGAAATCACGTTTGAATTTGCGCTTGCTTTTTTGCTTTCACTTTGCAATCGCGCGAACTGTGTATAGAGAGCGACAGCACTGATCTGTGAGTGATGATAATTTGTGCACCAATTCCTCTGACATCGTCTTATTAATCGTTAGCTTACTATGCAAACATGACAAGTGAAATCTCCCGCAGCTTAAACATGTGAGAGGTTGATCGCGCAGAGAATCGCTGAGCTTATGTGAGTGAGTGTGTAAAAGCATTTCAGTTCTGCTGAGCCAAATAAGACAGGTCAGGGTGAAGAAGTGACAGCCAAAGAAAAGCTTACCACAAAACGGGAAAGTTATGACAAATCAGACTATAAGGCAAAAAGAAAGTGCAGCTTTATGGTTTCATGGACAAAAGAATTTCTGTGGCTGCAATATGACGAGCTAAATAACCAGGGCTGCACATAAGTGGTCCGCAGGTGCGCATTCACTGTCAAAATAAAAAACATGCACAAGGGTTAGGGTTAAATTTAAAAACTGTACTTTTGAGTTAAATATATATATTTATAATTTTAATAAATGACAAATTAAAAAGGCATGAACATTTTTTTGTATCGAAAAAATATCGAACCGTGACACCAAAGTATCGAACCGAACCGAACCGTGAATTTTGTGTATCGTTGCACCCCTAATATATATATATATATACCTACAGTACATAAAAACAAAATTCACATGTTTTATGTGAATTTTATGTCAAACTAACGTGTTTAATCATGTGGGCTACAGAAAAGAATTAAGTTATAGATTACATTTATATGAAAAGCGTGTATACTTAATGCATTTGAACCATTACAACATTGTAACCATCTGCATATGTGTTTGAAAAAAGAAGGCTTTGATTTTGCCACCCCATTTGATTTCTCTGCCACCCTAAGAAAATTTCTCTAGATCCACACCTGCTGATTGTGCAAGAGTGAGAACGAGGACCCAGGTTCAGACACAAAAGGAGATAGAGCGGAGAGTTAAACCAAAAGTGAGACGTTTTATTTTAGCTGATAAACATGAATACAAAATAATGCGAGGCAAACTGGGCGACAAATTAAACTGCTACTAAACTAAACTGGGAAAACGGAACAAGATAACTGTGACTAATCACGATGACTATGATAACTATGATTTCTATGATGACTGTGACTATGAGTGCTATGACTAGACGTGGTGTCACAGACGTTCTGACAAAGACAAGACAATGAAAAACACAGACTAAAAACACACAAGGGGGGGGGGGGGGGGGGGGGGTCAGGAATCACATAGGGAAACAGCTGACACACATGAACCTAATAATGGGACAGGGGAAGTGAAACTAAATACAATGAACAAAGAAAACCAGGCTCTTTCAAAATAAGACAGGAGGCAGACAATACTGACTTGATAACAAGGGAGACTGGACAGTGTTGGGGAGTAACGGAATACATGTACCGCCGTTACGTATTTAAAATACAAAATATGAGTAACTGTATTCCGTTACAGTTACCGTTTAAAAAGGTGGTATTCAGAATACAGTTACTTTGTTGAAATAAATGGATTACACTGCGGTACTTTCCTGTTTCATTTTGTCGCGGGTCAGGACTGTTTGGGTTTTGTTTGACAGCTACGTTCTGTTGTTCCAGGCGGCAGCGTTACGGTTGCCATGGTTACAGGGCGACGCTCTCTCTCTCTCTGCGACCGTGTGTTTCCTGGGTGAGAGAGCGCCTTTTGTTGTTGTTGTTGTTGTTGTGCTAAGCTAACAGGCAGAATGCTACAAGCATAGCTCTAAAGAATGTAGCATCATGGGCAGTGTAGTCCGTGCTGCAGGGAGAATGGACTGTGTAACGGTCTTTTGCATTTGATGTTTGTTGAAAGGCAAGTGAAAGGCCGAACCTGCCAAACAACAAGGCATGTGCTATTCATCGCCTCAAGAGTAACAAGCAGTACTACATGGACTATAAGAAATTCATGGATGAGATCCTAGCCCATGGAGATGCTGAAAGGGTCACAGAGCAAGACATTGATAAGACACCAGTTTGGTACATCCCACACCATGGTGTGTATCATCCACAAAAACCCGGAAAGATTCGTGTCGTCTTTGATGCCTCTGCCAAGTTCCAAGGCGCTTCCTTAAATGACCATCTCCTCACTGGTCCAGAGCTAACAAACACCTTGCTCGGAGTCTTGTGTCGCTTCCGAAGAGGCCCAGTGGCTTTCATGTGTGACATCGAACGCATGTTCCACCAATTCCATGTGCATGCTTGTGACCAAGATTACCTACGGTTCTTGTGGTGGGAGAACGGTGACCTTGAAACTCCATTCACTGTCTACAGGATGAAGGTACACCTATTTGGAGCAGCATCTTCTCCAGGTTGCGCCAACTATGGCCTCAAGCATCTTGCAGCTGAAGGGGAAGGAAGTTTTAATGAAGAAACCATCAAGTTCACCAACTTCTATGTTGATGACGGACTAGCAAGTGTTGACACTGAAGATCAGGCAATACAGCTGGTTAATGAAGCACGCAAACTCTGCAGCATGGGCAAACTTCGGTTGCACAAGTTCATCTCAAACAGCACCAAAGTTCTAGCTTCGCTTCCGAAAGAAGAATGCGCTGCAGCTCCCAAAGAGCTAGATATGGCACTCGGTGAAGTACATATGGAAAGAGCACTTGGCGTACAATGGTGTGTGGCATCAGATCAATTTCAGTTCAGAGTAGTTGTTAAGGAAAAACCGCTCACCAGAAGAGGAGTATTGGCCACAGTCGCCTCTGTGTTCGATCCACTTGGGTTTGTGTCACCTTTCATTCTGCTGGGAAAGCAGATCTTGCAACAAATGTGTCGAGATAAACTCAGTTGGGATGATAACTTACCTGACAGACTTCGACCTCAGTGGGAGTATTGGTTGCGTGACCTGGGAAACCTTGCGGACGTAAAGGTTCACAGATGCTACATTCCTTCGAACTTCAAGGCACACCACTACGAACTTCATCATTTTTCTGATGCAAGTGCATCTGGATATGGAATGTGCACTTACCTCAGAGCAGTAAGCACAACTGGTGAAGTCCACTGCCCATTGGTGATGGGAAGATCAAGAGTTCCACCAACCAAAGTCACAACTATACCTCGGCTTGAGTTGTCGGCGGCCGTTGTTGCTGTGCGCACTGGTGACATGCTGAAAAAGGAATTGGAAATGGAAATTTCAGAAGAAAGGTATTGGACTGACTCGAAGGTGGTACTCGGATACCTCAGCAATGAAGCCAGAAGATTTCATGTGTTTGTTGCAAACCGAGTGGAACGCATCAAACAAAGTACAGATTCAACCCAATGGAGGTATGTACCTTCCGAAGATAATCCGGCGGACCACGCCTCAAGAGGTCTCACAGCAGAACAACTTGTAGCATCAAACTGGTTCAAAGGCCCAGACCTCCTTTGGCAGAAGGTCATACCCAGTGGAGAAATTAAGGTGGGAGAGTTATCAACCAGTGACCCGGAGGTTAAGAAGGTTCAAGTCCACAAGATACAAGGGGAGGAACAAAGGTCACTGTTAGATCGCTTACACAAGTTTTCCCACTGGTCGAGGATGATTAAGGCAGTTGCTAGACTCAAGCGCTATGTGAAAGAAGCAAAGCATCACAAGAGTAGATCACACGACATCAGTAGCCTACAAGAGAGAAAGGAGGCAGAGTTAACAATCATAAAGATGGTTCAAGAAACAGCCTTTGCTCAGCAAATAAGAACCTTGCAACATCATGATGTGATGCAGATGAAAGACAAGGTTAGCAAGTTACACAAGTTATGTCCATTTCTTGATGACCAAGGCATTCTTCGGGTAGGCGGACGCTTAACACATGCAGCTTTGCACCCCAATGTCAAGCATCCTGCGATCCTGCCAAGAGACAGTCACGTGTCGGCATTACTGGTCAAACATTATCACGAGAAGACATACCATCAAGGACGAGGGATCACCATGAATGAACTTCGAGCTAATGGATTCTGGATTCTTGGATGCAGCAAGATTGTGTCATCTTACATCTATAAATGTGTAAAATGCAGAAGGTTCAGAAGGCGCACAGAGCAGCAGAAGATGGCAGACCTCCCAGAGGATCGGATGGAGACCACACCGCCATTCACCTACTGTGGGATGGACTGCTTTGGTCCTTTTTATGTCAAAGAAGGCCGCAAGGAGCTAAAGCGTTATGGCTTGCTAATCACTTGCATGTGCTCCAGAGCAGTGCATCTTGAAATGCTTGACGATCTCTCTACAGATTCCCTCATCAACTCCTTACGTGCATTCATGGCCATCAGAGGTACAGTTCGCCAGATAAGATGCGATCAAGGCACGAATTTTGTCGGCGCTAGAAATGAGTTTATTGGAGCATTTAAGGAAATGGATCAAGCCAAGCTAGGGAAACTGGACTGTGAGTTTCTCATGAACACCCCAGCGTCTAGTCATATGGGTGGTGTCTGGGAAAGACAAATTCACACCATAAGAAGTGTTCTCATGTCCATTCTGGAACAATCAGCCAAACAACTCGACAGCTCCTCTCTGAGGATATTCCTGTATGAAGTCATGGCAGTGATTAATAGCAGACCATTGACTACTGACCAACTATGTGATCCATCAAACCCAGAACCTTTAACACCGAATCACATACTAACCATGAAGTCCACAATCATCTCTCCACCTCCAGGAAGGTTTGTGAAAGAAGATCTTTATCTCCGTAAGAGGTGGCGTCGTGTTCAACTACTTGCCAACACTTTCTGGACAAGGTGGAAAAAGGAGTATTTGTTAAATCTTCAAGGCAGACAGAAGTGGACCAAAGAGCACAGAAATGCTAAGATCAATGATGTTGTCCTCCTGAAGGATGAGATAACTCCATGCAACCAGTGGAAGTTGGCAAGGATCATTGAAGTGTATCCTGGAAAGGATGGAAAAGTGAGGAAGGTGAAATTGCTGCTGAGTGATCCAACCCTGGATAGAGCAGGAAAACGTACCTCCAAACCTGTGCACCTGGAAAGACCCATTCAGAAGACAGTCATTCTGATGGAAGCGGAAAACGATTCTCCACCGCACTCTGCTTAAAGGATAATTCACGATAGTTCATTCAAAAGCCGTTCATTAGTTCATAGGTTCATAGTTTTTAATCACAAGTGATTGGTGGGAGTGTAACGGTCTTTTGCATTTGATGTTTGTTGCATTTGATATTTGTTAAGCTGTATGTCTGGATTTTGTTCCTTTGCGCCCTCTGGTGGTGAACTGTGTAGGGTACAGCTTTGCTGTTTGGGTCTCCACCCAGCCACTTTTCTTTTGCTAGCGCACATGGTGTCTGCATGCTGCAACTCACAGTTAGCTCCACACATGGAGAAAATATTGTTTAAAGAGTGAAATAATTGATGAAGAAGATGGAAGATAAGGCAATAAGGCCATAAAGGACTATTTAGCACCTCCTGGATGTCAGCTCACGAGGTTTGTGTATTTTAAATGGTTTATTTTCTGTAATTAAGGATTTTTTGATTGATTGACATTACGTACAAGAGCGCATTTTGATGTGATGTTTTTGTTTTATTGTTTTGTCCGTGAGCAGTTCTCACGGGTTGCCAAGACCAGAATAAACCCTGTTTTATAACTACATCGTGCGTACGTCAATCCTTGAGGGTGCTACAGACTGCCATACACGTTAATGTGTCTGTGAGCGAGGGAGGGAGAAAAAGGCAAAGTACGAGTTGTCATCGAGGAAAAACGGGAGCTGGAAGCATGTAAATATAATAATAACCACTGCAGCCAAGAAGAGTGCCTGACGAGCCCAGTTGTAAGTAAGCTATTAAGACTCGACTGTACACCGTGTTCGTGTTTTCCTCCGAAACAATAAGTTCCGTTGGAGCAGCCTTTCAACGCCTCTCTCTGTCTCTCGCAAGAAAAGTTGACCCACACAACAAAGTAAAGCTATTTTTCGGCTACGAGCCGACAGGGACCCCGCCGTATTAGTCAGAGGTCCCTTTACTACAGTTCGGAGTCGCGGACTTTCAGTAATAGTAATAAATCACACAGCAATAGTACATTCACGTTGTTGTAAAAAGCATGATAATATATTAAGTAATCCAAAGTATTCAGAATACGTTACTGTCATTGAGTAACGTAACGGAATACGTTACAGAATACATTTTGGGGCATGTAATCTGTATTCTGTAATGGAATACATTTTAAAAGTAACCTTCCCAACACTGAGACTGGAACATAAGGGGTGATGACACAACAGGATCTAGATAAACAAGGACTAAAGAATTTCAAAATACAAAACAACTCAATCCAAACTAATGATAGAAACAACAAGAACTTAGCATGTCTTCTACAGTACATATCAATAATGCAAAATGAAGAGAAAATGCTGGGTCCCAGACCCAGCCCATGACAAGACTGCTGTAAATGTTTTATATTTCATATTTGTAAGAGATTGTTTTTCTTCTCCACATGGCTGAAAAGTTCTGACCCTTGCTGCTAATCTGGCGTGTGGTCCAAAAACCAATCCAACAAAAATGCCCCCTACAATATAGTCACTTATTTACTAAATCTCACCTTTGATGATTGTCTGTTCAGGTGTAATATTTGTGGTCAGGATGCCTTTAGACACACTTAAAGATACCTACAAAAGAAAGGCCTGAATAAATTTAAAAAGCACTCAGAATATAATAATAATAATAATAATAATAATAATAATGGATACTTTATTGATATCCATGCCTACCCCAGAATATCCTATACAGTCGTCTACAAAAAAAATAAACTGTGTATGAAATTATGCTATGTCAGTGTAACATTGGAATACCTATTGAAGATGGAAAGAAAGATGCTAGTTTATACTGTACATCAGACCATAAATGAGGTTTGTGTTTTTTCTTTCATTTATCCTAAAGCTGAATTAAAGTCAGCCCCACACATTGATCACAAATTCAGGGAATCAGGGCCCTTAATGTTTGAAATGTATATGTTCAGGAGGCATCTTGTATGAACCAGCCAACCTGTACAGTTCATATTAGCTGTGAGGGAGAAACACCAACCTTGTAGCTGCTTCTGTTTTCTGCATGCAGCCCTAAACCTGAAATTAAAATGACATTACTTTTACATTGTCCTTTTATGGGAAGACTCCATGACACGTTTTTGAAGCATAAATGATCAACATGAATTACTTAAAACCCCCATGCAACTGTCTTGTCTGTGAATATGTTGGCTATAAATACAGATTTAATTTTGCCATCTCATTTGCTGAGGTATAAGTTTGCTGGTCATTATCACTCTTGGTTAATTATCTTTTAATTATGTTTTAAACGTGGAAAATTCCTGAAATTGCATGTTAATTTGACTCACTAATGACTCTAATTCAGAGGTATTAAAGTTTACTTAATAATCTGAGAAATACCACCAAATTTAGTCTCAGATCAACATTTATTAACCATTTTTCTAATAAACTAGAAAGGGATTGTATAGGAATTTCTTTTACTTATGTATTAATCACATTATTTTATTGTATGATGCCTTGGTGCCACTAGATTTAAACATGTTCCACACCCATACTGTAAGACAGATGGTGGGGGTCTAGTAAGGAAGTTGGGGGAAGCAGACAACTCCACAGGAAGAGTCTTTTGTCTCTTCGAGGACTCTGGGAGGTAGCAAGGGAGTGTGAACCTTAAGGTGTGAAGCAGCTGTGTACTTTCTTTTGTTCCTGGAGAAGGTATTTAACTGAGAGCCATGTTAGGCTCAGAGAGACTCTGCTGACCGTCTGTCCCGCGGTCATGTAGGCTCTCCACAAGCTTGGTTGTCTGTTCTTTGTGTGTTTTGATTAAAGAATGTTAGCTACCGCTCGTCTGCAGGCTTTATTTAAATGGAAAACTTCCACAACAGAATATACAGCACATACACAACAATACAGACCACTGGTAAACTTGTCTGTTGCATATACAGTGGGGCAAAAAAGTATTTAGTCAGCCACCGATTGTGCAAGTTCCCCCACTTAAAATGATGACAGAGGTCAGTAATTTGCACCAGAGGTACACTTCAACTGTGAGAGACAGAATGTGAAAAAAAAAATCCATGAATCCACATGGTAGGATTTGTAAAGAATTTATTCGTAAATTAGGGTGGAAAATAAGTATTTGGTCACCTCAAATAAGAAAAATCTCTGGCTCTCACAGACCTGTAACGTCTTCTGTAAGACGCTTTTCTGTCCCCCACTCGTTACCTGTATGAATGGCACCTGTTTGAACTCATCAGCTGTATAAAAGACACCTGTCCACAGCCTCAAACAGTCAGACTCCAAACTCCGCCATGGCCAAGACCAAAGAGCTCTCGAAGGACACCAGGAACAGGATTGTAGACCTGCACCAGACTGGGAAGAGTGAAGCTACAATAGGCAAGCAGCTTGGTGTGAAAAAATCAACTGTGGGAGCAATCATCAGAAAATGGAAGACATACAAGACCACTGATAATCTCCCTCGATCTGGGGCTCCACGCAAGATCTCATCCCGTGGGGTCAAAATGATCATGAGAACGGTGAGCAAAGATCCCAGAACCACACGGGGGGACCTGGTGAATGACCTGCAGAGAGCTGGGACCAAAGTAACAAAGGTCACCATCAGTAACACACTACAACGGCAGGGAATCAAATCCCGCAGTGCCAGACGTGTTCCGCTGCTGAAGCCAGTGCATGTCCAGGCCCGTCTGAAGTTTGCCAGAGAGCACATGGATGATACAGCAGAGGATTGGGAGAATGTCATGTGGTCAGATGAAACCAAAGTAGAACTTTTTGGTATAAACTCAACTCGTCGTGTTTGGAGGAAGAAGAATACTGAGTTGCATCCCAAGAACACCATACCTACTGTGAAGCATGGGGGTGGAAACATCATGCTATGGGGCTGTTTTTCTGCCAAGGGGACAGGACGACTGATCCGTGTTAAGGACAGAATGAATGGGGCCATGTATCGTGAGATTTTGAGCCAAAACCTCCTTCCATCAGTGAGAACTTTGAAGATGAAACGAGGCTGGGTCTTCCAACATGACAATGATCCAAAACACACCGCCCGGGCAACAAAGGAGTGGCTCCGTAAGAAGCATTTGAAAGTCCTGGAGTGGCCTAGCCAGTCTCCAGACCTCAACCCCATAGAAAATCTGTGGCGGGAGTTGAAAGTCCGTGTTGCTCGGCGACAGCCCCAAAACATCACTGCTCTCGAGAAGATCTGCATGGAGGAATGGGCCAAAATACCAGCTACTGTGTGTGCAAACCTGGTAAAGACCTATAGTAAACGTTTGACCTCTGTTATTGCCAACAAAGGTTATGTTACAAAGTATTGAGTTGTATTTTTGTTATTGACCAAATACTTATTTTCCACCCTGATTTACGAATAAATTCTTTACAAATCCTACCATGTGGATTCATGGATTTTTTTTTTCACATTCTGTCTCTCACAGTTGAAGTGTACCTCTGGTGCAAATTACTGACCTCTGTCATCATTTTAAGTGGGGGAACTTGCACAATCGGTGGCTGACTAAATACTTTTTTGCCCCACTGTATTAGGCTTGGCATACCTGGTATGAGAGTAGAGGTCAAAGGCTGTACTATATAACCTTGAATAGGATACTGCAGAGGAGAGTTAGGCCAAGCAAACAGCAGTCTGGATAGTTCAGCAGACACCATCCTGATGAAGAGATGAAATGTGGGTAGATATAGAAACAGGTATCACCTTTTTACTAGTGCTGTCAGCATTAATTCTTATCCCTACTTTTATTTTTTTCCATGTCTATTTAAGTGCTATTTATGACACTATGTTTGCACTGAAGCACCGCAGCAATTTCCTAATGTTGTAAACCTGCTCAACATTTGGCAATAAACCCCATTCTGATTCTGATTCTGATTCTGATTAACGCTGACAGACTGCACGACTGCACCAAGCGAAGCAACTCTGCTGTTGAAGTGCAACACATTCTCACTCCCAAAGCGTAATATTTAATGCCAAATGTGTCTACATTAATTACAGTTTACAAAGATACCAATTGATTATGTTCAGTTACAAATGCCATTGCATTACTGTTAAAGTACACAACATTCATTCATCCACCCTCTACCTGGTTTTGTACTGTTGGAGGTCCTTAGCTCGCCGTTTAACAAGCTCTTCGTATTGATCCTTGGCTATATAATCTTTAAGAAGTTCTGAGCCTTTAGGGCAGGTACATTGATGAGCCAATGAAAAGTTCCTAGGAGAAACTGACCTGAAGAACAAAGGAAATACAGAACTCCTAAAGGGTCAAAATTCTCTTCTATATCACATTGTCATTTAAATCAAGTAGTTCAGATTTTATGGGAATTTGGGAGACTAGTCTAAAAAGTATTTTAATGATGCATTAAGGGTAACAAGACTGTTGCTTCATCTGGATAGAAGTATACCAACTTTCCTCAAATAAAATGCAGTTTCACCTCTGGTCAGCAACAAAAACACACAAAGTGGTCATACAAAGCACTCTACATGTGCGTGTGGTGTGTGTTAAAGGCAATTTAATGAAAACACTTTCAAACACTGCCAAATATACAAGAGGAGGGATTTACACACACACACACACACACACATACAAATTATTACCTTAGTTTTGTTGCGCTGGAAAACTTGAACAGATTTTCATTAACGTTAGAGAAATATATGACATAGAAAACCATCAGGATGATCAGAGTAACAGCCACCAGCTGGAGCCTTGTGCTACTCAATGACATCTGCGGACATACACACACACAAACTCACGTTGTAGACAGTTTGCTAGCAAAGGACCTAAGGGCAAAGATTGCAGTTCTAATGCTCCTGCCCCCAACAGCTGTCAGGTGGCAGATTATTTTTATTTATTTTAGTACTAAAGATGCAAAGTCAGCATCTGGTATAGGGAGAGTCAATATCTGGCATACCCAATGCATTTACATAAAAATTTTGCAGTAATAAATTTGGACACAAGAGTGATTGCTTCATATATCAATACTTAATACACATATTCTTAAAAAATGGTGCATCAACCAACTTGAAAAGCATTTTTTCACACACTGAAATCTGAGACAATGTTCGAACATCTAAAAATCCTGACATTTTAACTCCCCTTACATTTATATAAAAAATATTCACAGCGCAACAAAATGACTACACTTTGTCTTTTGCCTTTGATGTATCAAATTTATATAGTTTCACTAAAAGGCACGTAACTTTGTGCTGAACATTGGTGGGGTCAAGATCTCTGTCTAAATAAATAAATAAATCTTTTTAAATTGCCAGATGATTAAACATGCAACTGTTTTGCTGGTAATAGCTGAAACGAGTAAAGAAAATCAACAGCCTATTTATGCAAGATAATTCATAATTTTACTGGGGGGGTTATATTGGTTGGGTCTGATTATTGGGGGGGTCATAACCCCCCTGGAAACTGCTCCATTATGTTGGCATGTGGCACTGAAGAAAATATTAATCAAACTAAATATAATATATAATCATCTGCCCTTGTCTGCACAAATGTTTCCCTTTTTCTTTTAGTGTTAACTTTCACGTGGATGATATCTACAACAAAACTCTTATTTATATACTTTTTATTTCTTTGGACAGAAATCAGGAGTAGTCATATAAGAGATGAAAATAAATTAACATTATAATTAATATCATAATTAACTGAATTCACATTTACATTTATTTATGTATATTTATGTCATATGTCATTGAAATTTTATTGTTGTGTTAATGGTAACAGAATGAACAAAACTATGATATTTAACCACTGGCTACAGTATAGAAATGATCCATGTCTTACCATTTCTTCCTTCTAAAGTTTCACTCTTATCTCATTTATTCAGCATAAATATCCAAGACATTAAGGAGCCACGAAATCAAACAGCCTGAGTTTTGAAAAAACCTCTTAAGAGTTCAGGGGCTGGACACTTGTGTACAGTGACTGAGGGGGTGTAGTTAACGAAAAACAGTCTGATGGGGGTGGGATCCTCATCAGACTGTTGATACAGCACTAGCTTAACACTGGTATATCTGATTTTATCAGCTTATGTGCTTATAATATATGTTAACAACTGCATCAAAGATTCTGAATATCTCATAAAAATCACATTGTATTGCATGAAAATAAAATTAACTTCATAAAACACTTTGTTTGTTATCGGACATTAATAATCCTCACAATATTACATAAACAGCAAGTTCCTGGATTCACATATGAATGTAACATATGATTTCTTTAATGTTCACCCATGAGGAAAAATGAATTAAAAGGGAGAAACACATTTCACTGACATTTTCTGTTTCATCTGCATGCAGCACATTTGAACCATGCGAATGATACTGCAACCACAATGGATCCTGTTTTTCAGAACAGCTCACTGCATGCCTACCACATTTACCACCAAATGTTTCGTAAATATATTATCTGTCTGGTGCATCAATAAAGATGTGAAAACCACGTCTAGAAACTGCACCACTTTTGTCTGATTGAGTTTCACTAAAGGCACAAGCAAGAGTTTTTCCACAAACTGTTGAACCACATTCTTTACAAACCGCGTCACTCTGAAAACAGAGCTCACTACAGACAGACAGGCAATCCCCGGACTGGAGCAGACTGCAAACGCGCCACCTCTACTTGACCATAAACCTGATTTATTTGTTAAAAAATGAGAGAGAATTTGCAAGGTTTACGGGTCCAGCCGTGGTCGGTCCACGGATCCTGGAATGGAACAGAGAGAGAGAGAGAGAGAGTGGGCAGGGAGGTGGTTAGCTGGTGATTTCCTTCTTTACAGGTTTCAGCTAGCAGGCTAAAGGGAATGGTCCCAGCAGCATCCACAGTGCACAGGTGACATGAGGTTTAAGCAAACCAATTTCCAACAGTAAATTCAGACAAGTTCCTGTGTGGAAAGCAGAAAATCTGGGTAAATGGCAATAATATACTAAGGTTAAACAAAAACAAGACAGGGTTAACTGTTGACATAGCAGAGAGGATTATCTGGCAGAGGACTGTGGCTCCTGTCGGCCCCTCAAATATGGGTTCCTTCATTAAGAACAGGTGCAGGAAGGAATGAGCTGCCAGGAACTCCACCACAGGTTGAAGCAGAAGCTCCAGCTCAGAATGTCAACAGGGAGGAAATGAGGGGGAAACCAAAAACAAAGCCTAACTCTGTTTCCACAATGAGCAAACCCACGCATCACCTTCTTTCCTTCCAATGTCAGAGCAGGTCATCAAGACTGAGCTTTTGGTTTGTGAATTATTATTATTATAAGTCTGAGCTGGCTCCTTAAACAGGACGTGATTTTCTCCTCTGGAGTTGTCTACTATGGGCTCAAATTGTGGTCATAAATATTTTGTACTTGTAAATCACTTTTGTACTTGTAAAGGATTTGTATGTGTAAAAAAGATTTGTATGTGTGAAAAGAATTTGTGTGTGTAAAAAAGATTTGTGTGTGTAAAAAAGATTTGTGTGTGGACTTAGCCCAAAAAAAACGTGTGAAACTGCAAGTTACAATGACGAATTTTGACCCTATTTTTCCTTCTTTCATCTGATTGGTCAATGTCATGTCAATCACAAATTTAACAATCCAATCAGAGAACAGATGGGTTTGGCTGTCGGCAGGGCGCTTTTTTGAACTGCAGGTCCTTGAAGGGTAATACAGTTTGAAGCTGGAGGATCTCTATATAAATATCCGATAGCAGTTAGGTCCCAATAACTTTCAGCAGCTGTTGAAAGGATAAAGTTGTGGTATATCAGTGGTTAGAAATACCATTATTACTTTAGGATTAGTTTAACACAAAGTCAGGGCTGACCCGGGACCATTGCTGTGAGTCACAGTGCGGACGCAGGATATGCTGCTAATGCTAACTGCTAACTAAAAGCAAAGGATCCAGAATTTCTTGCGCTGGCTGCTGGGCTCTGTGGGTTTTTGGAGCAGCTCTACCTGTACAATTTGAGCCCATAGTCTACAACCAAAACTGATCTGCCCACAGCATCCTTGCCTGGGTCACACACTGCGGTGCCCAGATGTATCCTACATTTCACACCAACACAGTTGGCTTCCCACCCAGACTCCACTGTGCAGCGGCTACATGTACCCCACATCCATGTGTTTGCTGAGCCTGCATGTCCCCCATGCTACATTACTATGGAGAGATATTTACACCCAAAATGGCTATGAATGCATACCATATGATCCATAAGCTTAAAATAATCTTTGCAAACGTATACCGTAAATTTGTGTGTAACTTTTGAGTACTAACAAATGCATGCGCCAATCCACAAACAAATTTGAAGCAATATGACTACATGTACAGCTATTTTACAAATGTGTACATCCAATACATTTATACACAATTTATTCAGTTGTAGCTTTTTGTCTTTCAAAAATCTTTCTGTGCATACAAATTGTCATGGTCAGGGTAAGTGCTGTTTTCTTCCAGTTCATTGGATCTCCAGCTTCTAACTTCCAATAACCAAATCTCTGTTCAGTCACTGGTCTGCTCGGCAGCTTCACTGCTCATGCTCCTGCCTGCCTCCCTGCCCAACTCACTGGAACAGCTCAGATCTCCAATCTTGACTCACTGCTAACCCGGACTGTTCACAATTTGTCTGTTTCACCCTGGATCAGTGTCTAGAACACCCCTTGACTCCTGTTTCTTCTGTTACAGTAATTCTGAGCACCCTGGCTCTTTTCTCCAGTCTAGCCTTCACCCTAAACCCACACCACAAGATTCCTGGCTGTTACCCAGTTTTGTTTGTGTGTGTGTGTGTGTGTGTGTGTGTGTGTGTGTGTGTGTGTGTGTGTGTGTGTGTGTGTGTGTGTGTGTGTGCGTGCATGCAAAGTAAAGATTTGACTCCTACCCTCAGATTACCAGGCTTGTAGCATTGTATTTAAAAGATGAAATGTTGCTCATTTGCATGCAATATCGGCATGAAGATAAGGGTTAAATGTAAATGTTACGCATAAAAAACGGTCAATTTACCATTTAAACTGTTTTTCTTTGTCCTTAGTGTTATATATATATGACAACACAGCAATCGTGTTCTCTCCCCAAAGCTGTCATGTTATCGTCATGTAATACCAGGCTCCACAATGAAGTGTTTTTCTGTGAAGTGTTCTTTATGCTGTTTACAGTTCCATGTTCTATATCAGGTTTTTTTTTTTAAAGATGTCAAAGTTGTCTATGGTTGCTTGAACGGGATCAACTGTTTTTTTTTGTTTGTTTTACAACCTCCAGTTCTTTTCCAGAGCACCCTGACTGTGTATGTGCATGGATTCTGCACGAAAGCCTACACAAGGCACAATTGTTTTAGGAAAAGCAAATGGGTGCTGGTGCTTGAAGTACTTTAACCTAATTTTAAGAAGAAAAAAGAACTGTAACCATTGATGAGCCATCTCTCTTGTGGTGGGTTTGTACTTATGCTAGCTTCCTGTATGACTCATCAGAGCCATATCTGGAAAAGTACACCCTTACTCTAACCATACAGGAAAACAATGTGCACAACAAGCACAATAGTTTAATTCCAAAAAGTTTAATACTTCATGTAGGCTATTGTTATAATGTTTAACTCCTGGATTATGTAGGAAGTCCTTTTCAGTATCTGTAATTGGGGGTGTGATTCTGTCCGTGTGAATGCCCTCACTTTAAGCTGTGATATTAATTTAATATGAATTTCTGGTTAAATGCTTTATTGTAATGAGCTCAGAGAAGGCTGTGTTTTCAGACCTGAAAACAACTTCCTGCTTTTACATGTTTAGCTCTGGGGCTCTACCAAGTGGATAAAGATCTGCACTCAGACTGTGTCACCTAATTCTTGCAGTTTCTAAATTAAGGGGTTTATCATTTTCATAACTTGAAATTCTAAATTTTGAAAACTTAAGCCCAAATTTTTAAAACAATAAAGTCATATACAAAACAGGAGGTGTATCACTCCTGTGCTGCACCTGGAGACAGTGTTTACACTGTAACCTGCCTTAGTGAGGGTACTAATGAATGTCACAAACACACAAAATAAAACAATGAATACACAACACACCAACTATTCACTCCACGCTAAAGGTCACAAATCTGGTGAGGAGAGGAGTTGCAGAGGTGGTGGGCTTGCATTTATTTTGTACAGGAGGAAGATGTTCGCAGCTGATTCGGACTGCCAACAATGAGGATAGATAGTAAGGTGGTTATGAAGGGGAGACGCGAGATCTGTAGTTTTATTTTAAAGAACTTAACCTCTTTAGCACGCACACCTAACCCTAAATGTGATCTCCTCCCTTTTGGCTCCGTATATGGGGGCGTTGTTGCTTAAGAGGATAATTTCCATCCATCCATCCATCCATCTTCATCCGCTTTGTCCGGGGCCGGGTCGCGGGGGCAGCAGCCTAACCAAAGAGGCCCAGACCTCCCTCTCCCCAGCCACCTCCTCCAGCTTATCCGGGGGAATACCAAGGCGTTCCCAGGCCAGCCGAGAGATATAATCTCTCCAGCGTGTCCTGGGTCTTCCCCGGGGCCTCCTCCCGGTGGGACATGCCTGGAACACCTCACCAAGGAGGCGCCCAGGGGGCATCCTTGTCAGATGCCCGAACCACCTCAGCTGGCTCCTTTCGATGTGGAGCAGCAGCTGCTCTACTCTGAGCCCCTCCCGGATGGCCGAACTTCTCACCCTATCTCTAAGGGAGAGGCCAGCCACCCTTCGGAGGAAGCTCATTTCTGCCGCTTGTATCCGCGATCTCGTTCTTTCGGTCACTACCCACAGCTCGTGGCCATAGGTGAGGGTAGGGACGTAGATCGACCGGTAAATTGAGAGCTTCGCTTTTACACTCAGCTCCCTCTTCACCACGACGGACCGGTGCAGCGTCCGCATTACTGCAGCTGCAGCCCCAATCCGTCT